CTTCATTGATCTTTATATTCCTGTTACTCATGTCGAAGCTGACGACATGAATGATGTAGCTCGTTTGGCATATGAGTATGGTTCAGGATAACTCTGGCTCACTGGAACAGAACACTATTATTCCCAATATTGAGAACTGAAGAGGTTCAAATGCAAGTATCTCTGCAAGGCTATTCGAGGAGCTTGTTGGTGTGCTGAAACCATCTAGGGATTGTGGAAAAATTTTCTCATGAGCTTCGGTAAAACATGTTCCATGAGTTGCCAACCAACCAAAAAGCAAAACTCAATATTTCAGCGGCATAACATCTTGGTGCTGCCTCTGTATCTGATTTTGCCGGGTATGAATTTGATGATGTACTTTCTTAACCAAAGGATTGTGTTTTATCTTGGATCTTCCATTAAATAATGTCATTCTGGTAGTTTTTTTTCAAAACTTGTGCACACCTATTTGACAACCTATCTAGTGCTTCCTTACTAGCCTCATAAGAGATACTTGCTTTTGAACTTCTTCAGTTATCTTCTTATACTAATAATGTTTTGTTCCACAGTCAATTGGAGCTCTCTTGAACCATACTCATCAGCCAAACGAGCTAGGTCATCAATGTTGTTTGCTTGGACACGACCCATTGGAATGTGAAGGACGATAAAGTTGTAGCCATCTTGTTTCTCTAGAAAAAATTTCTAGACTACCTTATGATTTATGTCATGTTTCTATCTTCACAATAGTCAACAACATGCATATAAAGCTCCTCTTATCCACTCAAACAACATGTATATTATATGGTGTAAAAGAAATGGAAGATGATTCGAAGAGAAAAAAAGAGACGTTTTATGATTTCAAATATAAATGTATTCAGAATTTGTACCATTGTATGAAATGAAATGAAATTTTATTCAAAATATGAAAGACTAAAGTTATAATTTATGTAATGTAATACAAGTCCAGATCTTTGTACTGGTTATGGTGCCATTTTGGAACTATTTATCAATAAAAACTTATTGGATAAGTGATTTCCTGTACATTTATGATCTTTAACATCTATCTCGTGTTTTGCTATTTTTGAAACCTGGAAATGAAGAGGAAATTCATAGACTGATGATACTATTAGCAGCTGGTGACAGAGGAGGAAGAGAGAAAAAGCTCAACAACATCTGGTGTATCACAGGGGCCTGCGCACCGAAAAGGAACAAGTTTTGTGTACTACCAGGAAACATTTCAAGAATAATACTTGTACTTTTGCTAACTGTTTAGTCATTCTTCAAAAATTCTATTAATTTTTGCATCAATTTTTTGGTCCTGATAGGAGGGTTTTTTATTACTGGGATATTGATAAAAAACACACCTGAAGTAGTATCATTTTCTTGCGAGTTCCCTACATTAACTATCATGTGTTTGCGTTTCCTAACTATTTATCAAAACACGCCTCGAAATTAATGAGTCTTTTTTTAAGTAGTAAAAAATCTTTATATACCTCCCAAATACAAGTCAATCAGGTCTCTAAAGGGTAAAAAGAACAGGAAAACAAAAAATAAATCCAAGTACAATATTTTTTGATAAGAAAATCCAAGCAACTACAAGTCAGCATCAATTAGAATACAGTATCTACTTAATCTTCTTATTAGGCCTCAACTGATCGATTGTTGTGTCCACACTTCTTCTTGCGGCAGTTGACAACACGAGGATGCAACCGAGCATAGCACTTGCGGCATATCATCTTCTCCTGATTGTATTTCTTAGCCAAAGCCATCAACGGTGGCTCAATGATTTCACCATGAAACCTCAGCACCAGATGTAATCAGAACCTACAAAGTATGTAATAAAAATATTTTTTGTTTGATGAGGATCAACCACACAGTAAAAATAAACAAAAGATAGGAGACAATCTCATATCCAAGAGAACCGACAAGGAATCTATTTTGTCCAACTCAAACAAGAGATGATCCGGTAACTAGAAAAAAATCAACCATGTAGTAAAATCATACACACTAGCAAACTCAGTTCATTGATCAACATTCTTACCTGTTGATTATGTCCAAATACTAATACTGTCTTTACACCATAAACACATCAAAATAAACTATGAAAGGACTAATTAGAATTAAAAAATAGAGAAAAACTAATAAATCTAAATCGAAAGAACTATTTCTAATTGTATAACGACATACCACTAAGTAGAAGAACCTTGTCAAGTTTCAAAATCGCCTGATGCTTTAAAAATTATTTCTTAGCAAATTTACAAGTTTTGATGGTTTGAAGAACTACATAAGCATCATCCTGGGAAAACATACGGTAAACCTCAATATTGTATTTTAGTTTGGAAAGAAAATAATTTAGTTATGGAAATAAATATGATTAGAATCCAAGTAGGACTCAACTGTTGATATTTTTTTTTTCTTTTTTATAATTATTGTTATTTTATTAAAATAAGTTATTATGGTTAAATTTCATTAAAAGTATCTGATGGTGTAGAAATTTCATACACCGACGGTGCACAAAACTTAAACTCTTATTGTTATAGACATTGTATAATTAACGGAGAAGGGTCTAAATTGCCCTTCAACTATTTGAATTGGTACAAAACTATCCTCTATCCACTTTTCGACTCCCCAATACCCCTGACGTCAACTTTTTGGTTAAAATATATCCTTATTTCTAACGGTCCAGACCTATAAGGTGGATGAAGGGCTATATTGTACCAAATCTCATAATTTAAGGGTATTTTAGGCCATTTTCGTTAAAATAATTTTATATTACTTAATATATGGGCTCATATCTTTGGCTTGATTTTGGATTCCACATTACATTTGAAATAGAAAAAAGGTTAGTCCTCTACTCTCTATCCACTATTTTTTCTTCTTGGATTTTGTCCATCAGTTGGTAAACACATAAAAGACTTGTTGGTAATTGTTGAAATGTGGCCTTGAAATTTTCTTTGGTATATTCGCCAACCAATTTTCGGTTGGCATATTGTTGGGAAGTTTACTAACGAAGAGAAAAGAGTTAGTAAATTTGGTTCTTCACTATTCAATTATGTTAGTGATATGTTGGCAAATATACTAAAATAAAATAAAATGTTGTTAGTATTTGGTTAGCAATTATATAACAGATAACAACTCGGTTGCTAAGCTCAATAGTAAATTCACCAAAATACATTGGTAATCAATTTGTAATTTCGGTTAAGAAAAAAATGTGTTGGTATTTCGTTGGTAAATTACCAACGAATTTTAAAGTTGTAACTAAGAATGACTATCTACTCATGTAACTTATGTTACTAATTGGTTAGTATTTTAAAAACACAAAAAGATCATTAGTAATTTGTTAGGAAGCTTACTAACTTATTGTGATTTTGTTGGTAATATATATTATTTATGGTCAATATTCGGTTAGTGATTGGTAATGTATATATATTGCCATATTACTAACTAAATGGTAATTCGATAGTAAAGTTTCACTTTATATATTTGTATTAATCAATAGCTTTTACGAATCTTAAAAAGTCTGAAAACATAATAAAATTCAGTGATCCTTTGATAAATTATAACTTCACTAAAACAATGCAAAAACTAAGATGAAGAGTTCAAAACAAATCCAAATACATAAACAATGAAAGATATGTGTACAATAGTTTGGAAATTTTAAATGACTCATATCATTATTTGATGATGGGTCATGTCTAAGCTAATGTGGTGTACCAGCGGGCAGTGTACCAGGGGTGGTTTAGGCAGCCCAGCTATGAGGATGGGCAAACGTTCTTAGAGTCTTATCAACTTGCTCTTGCATTTCTAGCTGCATTTCGTTTTTCATTTCTTCATGCAATTCATGTCGTATCTATTCTCTCATCTCCTCTCATCTCATGTTTCATCTCCTCCTTCATTTCTTGAACGTATTCCTTCACTTGAGCATCAAAACTACAATCTTGAGGTTGAGAAGTTGAAGCAGATGATGAGCCAACGTTCTCATAGAAAACAGCTTGAGAACCAAGACCATATATACATGCCTTCCTAACCCCACCCACTTCATCCATGTAAATCTTTGAAAAATCTACTGTCGGAGACTCGCCAGATTCATCTACAAGCTGAGATGCAGATGTGATCTTAGACATTACAGCATCCTGAAAAATAAATAAATGTATATTATGTTAAGAAAAAATGTCTAGCGATTATAAATATACAAGACAAATGATATCAGTCGACCATCTTTGTCATTGACAATACCTCCACCACACTTATCATTTCTACAGCTGCAATTAACATTTATTTTGACATACGCACCTGTAGTTCATATTCAGTGTACAAAAATAGTCTTTTAGGGACTAAGGTTTTTTTTTTCCAGAACTGAAAAGATAGCATTTCATATTAGTTAGTAAAGCTATGATAGTTCAAAATCATACAACTAAACATGCTAAGAACTTTTGAAAGGAAGGATATAGAGGATCACCAAACAAAAGTACAAACCTACCAAACTAAGCTATTCTATGCAAATCTATGCTTTTTAGATGCAATGTAATTCACATTGCCTAAACAGGAGGAAGCCTAACATATAGGCTTCAGAAGAACCAGAAACTTAGTAAACCTCTAATGTGCTGTCTTTTAATAAATAAAGATTACAGAATTGGTCTTAAAGTTGGAAAGTAAACCTCATCATTCACTTTTTAATTGGTTTTGTGGCTGTGAGAAATTCTTTGGCATTCTTTGCCACATCTGCCTCCAGTATTGCTTCTAAGACAATGTCAGAACCTTTTGCTCCAGTTACACGTTTTGGCAACAATCCTGCGCTTTCAGCAGAGACAGGAAGTACAACAATACTGCCAGATCAAATATGCTAGAAGCATAGGGTACCGGGTAACCCCTCTTTGGTCAGTTCACTTAGACCTTCTCTCTCTATAGATACAGTTTTCAAAGTCTGTCAATCTCGCATAAGCACCTGCTTGGCTGTGCATATCAGATAAAGCTGAGTTCCTTTAATTATGCTCCTTAGGTGTGCTAGTTACTGTTTTGCTCTATTTATCAGATTTTTGAGGTCTATTTTCAACTATTGTAATCTCTTCATCAGATTTTTTAGGTCCATTTTCAACGATTGTACTCTCTTCATCAGATTTTTGAGGTCCATTTGCAGTCATGTTATCCCTAGCTGTAGTGTTGATGTTGTCCACTAGCCTTGATGTCAGTGGACCAGGATTCATAAAAGAGATTGTTCGAATTTCATGACGTATAGCTTCTAGTTGAGCCATGGTATCTTGCAGTTCCTTATGCACCTGGCGAGATTGGGACTGCTGCCTGACACTTTCTAACTGGCCACGGGCCAATTGAACATAACCAATGGAACGCCCAGCAAATCTGCCTACTGTTGTTGCGATGATTGGTAGATCTTTAGGTCCAATAAGAGCAGCAGTAGCACCAAGCAATAGAAATACCTCTCCATATGAAAATCCCAGCATCTCTTCTTTTCACTGTGTTTCTCTCTTATTATAGACCACCCCTAAGAAGATTGTTATCAAGGACTCTTTTGGGAAATTCGCTCAGGGAAGTCGTCTATGAGACTTGCTGGTGGGCAATTAGCCATGCCAGACACATGCTGTTGACTCTTCTGCCATCACTCTGTAGAATTCCTACTTGAAGACGCGAAGAGTCCTCGGAGAAGAGCAGATCAACAGAAACAATAATTTTAGCTACTTATTAAGAATCAACTATGATTTGAACAATATTTATTTACGCTATTTGGATTATCGTTACTATTTCTACCATTGCCATGGCCATGATCTTCTTCAGCAATCGCTTCCACTTCGACAGGGCCTTGTGTCCCAAGTTGATGTTTTAGAACTTGCATTTTTCTATTTCATTTAGAGCAAAAGAAATGTTGCATGTTATGAACTTCTTGACATACATCTTCTCAGTACTACGTTATCCCACATCTTACTCTCCAAATTTCCCAAGTAGTAATGATAGGAATAATTTAGAGATCAAGGCAATCAAAGAATTATGGCTCCTGCTTTTTCATCATTTAACTAAAAAATTTATGTAGGATAAGTTTACCAATGAATACTAAACAGGCCACGTATGATTTTCCATAATTTCTGGGCAAGCACACAATTACAGAACAAATGTTCCATCCCATAGCAGGTGAGGAGCAACAACATCTAGAAGATTGGCTAATCCCCATCTTGATAATCCTATTGTTTGTGGGTAATGTGTCCCTCAAAGCTCTCCAAACAACAAGAGTGAAATACAAGATTTCTCTAAAAAATGACAGACTAATGGGGAATCCCTCAGCGAACTACCATGGAAAGGAGAAATTCACATGGACAAACAAACAAATAGGGGTGGATGAAATATGAAGTATGATGGACAGCGCTCTTGGTAATTTTGACTGGATGATGACCTGGGGACATGTGCAAGTCGAGTACGACTTGCCAGTGATTTCTTATCACTCTTCCATGATTATTAAGTTGTATGCAGCACCTCAGATGAAAAAAAACTCCTTCCAGATTTTTCAAAGTCCTAGCTGACCATGAAGAATTCTTACCTATGGTTAGTGAAGAACAAAAACAACAAAAAGAACACGGGAAGATGAAAAATGTATTAGCTTAAGCTGAGGGCACTAAAGCCACTACTCAAAAGGCTGCATAGTAGTGAATTTCAGTAATACAAAGCAACAAATTGATATGCAGTGTCTGCATAAAAGGCTCTTGTTGAATTTGGAGAAGTGGTTTTTAATAGAGGAGAGCAACTTGAATCAAAAGTCTAAGGCGAGGTGGATTAAGCTTGGGATTCCAACACAAAGCATTTATCTGCAGTGATGAAGGTAAGAGCTTAGAGGAAACAAATAACTTAAATTATGTCTTTATCGAGAAGCAAGCTTACAACTCTTGAGTTCATAGAAACTGAAAATGTTACATTTTAGAAGAGTCTTATTGGTTCTGCAGCTCCTACGCTACCAACAGTAGACATATCGATTATGAGAAGGGGACCTACACTTACTCTAGAACAACAAACTACTCTATCAAGAACCAAGCTTACAACTCTTGAGGTTATACAAACTGGAAATGTTACATTTTAGAAGAGTCTTATGGGTTCTGCAGCTCCTACGCTACCAGCAGTAGACATTGATTATGAGAAAGGGACCTACACTTACTCTAGAACAGCAAAATACTCTATCAAAAACTAAGCTTACAACTCTTGAGGTCATACAAACTGAAAATGTTACATTTTAGAAGAGTCTTATGGGTTCTGCAGCTCCTACGCTACCAGCAGTAGACATATCGATTATGAGAAGGGGACCTACACTTACTCTAGAACAGCAAACTACTCTATCAAGAACCAAGCGTACAACTCTTGAGGTCATACAAACTGAAAAATGTTACATTTTAGAAGAGTCTTATGGGTTCTGCAGCTCCTACGCTACCAGCAGTAGACATATCGATTATGAGAAGGGGACCTACACTTACTCTAGAAGAGCAAACTATTCTATCAAGAACCAAGCTTACAACTCTTGAGGTCATACAAACCGAAAATGTTACATTTTAGAAGACTCTTATGGGTTCTGCAGCTCCTACGCTACCAGCAGTAGACATATCGATTATGAGAAGGGGACCTACACTTACTCTAGAACAGAAAACTACTCTATGTACTGAAGTCACCGACCAGGAGATTATAGATAGTCTCAGTTGCACTTATAAAGCAGGGCCAGTGATCCACAATGATGTTTTGTTAGCTGTTAAAGATTTCATCCACACTGGAAAATTATATAGAGACATCAACTGCACTAATATGACACTAACCTCCCCCATTGTTAATCTTCAAATATTATAACCATGTATTTAATATTTGGGATAAACATGATGAATGACGACTAAGTAAATTCTCAACAAAAATTAAGAAAGATAATCAGCAATGTTTGGTGTTCCTTGCATATGTGCTCTTAGACTTCAGATCCACAAACTCATCGTTTCTTTTGGTATGTGTCTTCTTCAAAAGTTCGTGTGGATTAGGTGGCCGTCCAAGAACAGTCGCCTAAAATTGAAATCACATCCATCAAAGTTATTACTAGAGGAATTACGTTGAAAGAATTGTAACTTGACAAAATGAAAATAATTGTACCAGTTGTCTTGCATGCTGTCGGTGAGTCCGGGAGCCTCCAGTATGGCGCGAGGGAGCAGATCCTTCACCACATTTCTCACTTGGTCGATTTTTGGAACATTGTGCAGATTTAGCCTTAAAAGTCTCAGTATCATAGTGAGGCTTCCAGCTCTCCCAAACAGATTTTGGGATACTTTTTCATTTCTCCTCAGAGGATCTTGCTTCACATAACATACCCTTGTATTGTATTGAACTATTTTTCATAAAATGATCCTTTATGGAACCTTCAGTTGTCATATTCCAATGGAATCACTTCTGTTTAAAAGGGAAAGAAAAATATCACATGAATTGATATAATAGAAATTTTTAATGAATCAAATACATTAATAAAACGATAGTAAAATGGAATTTATGGATATAATTAGTACATGAATATTATAGTAGAAGGAGACACAATTATGTATCAAAAGATGTACCAAAAACAAGTATAATGGGTGTTGAAACAAGTCTGGTAAGAGAGAAAGTATATTGAAGAAGCTCGAATGAACATGGCTAAACTTGGAAGTAAGGCCAAATGCTCTGTTAGAAAATTATATGTGACGATTAGAGGAAATTATCAAAAAGTCTCATGGAGGAGGTTAACTGCAGTATCAGTGGTCCACCTAAATGGACATTCATTATGTACTTGGCTATACTGGGACGATTATACACCAGATACAGGTTTCTTGGATGGGGCATTGTTGATTATATGAGTTGTCCAATGTGCGGAGATACAAACGATACTATAGAGCACTTGCTTTATCAATGTACTTCCTCCCACAACGTATGGACTAAGTTGTTATAGTGGCAGGGCATAACAAGAGCTCCTATGGGACGGAAGGATGAAGTAGACTGGGCAAGTAATTTAATGAAAGGAAAGAGTCACAAAGCAGATATATAGAGAGTTGTCTTGGCTGGTAGTGTATACCATATTTGGATGGAAAGGAATCAACATATTTTCAAAGGCACACCAAGACAACCTGAAGTT